AGCTGAATAGAGACGAAGCAGTTAGCAGTGGAGAGAGCATAGTGACGGTGATAGCGGTGAACAGAGACGAAGCATATTCTTAGTTTTTTTCGGTAAAGTCACGTTGAAGAGAAACAACAAAATAACAAAATATATATAAAACAATAAAAATTCTCACGACGTTTCGACCATAACTCAAACGGTCATCATCAGGTGTGTCGGTTTGCATAAATTTATTTTGAAAATGGCATATTTATTTATTTTGAAAAGAATTCGTTTCGCATTAGAAGAAGTTACAGTAGCAGAGGTGAGTGTAAATGCGATTGGTATTACCCCAGAGTCGCGGCATCTCTTCAGGAAGGTGAGAGACTCGATCAGCTGAGCTTTCTTATCCCGGAGTTTGTTGAAGGATCTTAAAGTTATGTGAAAACCCTCCCCGTAGAGGCGATTAAATTTTGATTTAAAGCTTTCGTGACTGCAGTAATTCATATTCTTAGTTTTTTCGGTAAAGTCACGTTGAAGAGAAACAACAAAATAACAAAATATATATAAAACAATAAAAATTCTCACGACGTTTCGACCATAACTCAAACGGTCATCATCAGGTGTGTCAGTTTGCATAAATTTATTTTGAAAATGGCATATTTATTTATTTTGAAAAGAATTCGTTTCGCATTAGAAGAAGTTACAGTAGCAGAGGTGAGTGTAAATGCGATTGGTATTACCCCAGAGTCGCGGCATCTCTCTACGGGGAGGGTTTTCACATAACTTTAAGATCCTTCAACAAACTCCGGGATAAGAAAGCTCAGCTGATCGAGTCTCTCACCTTCCTGAAGAGATGCCGCGACTCTGGGGTAATACCAATCGCATTTACACTCACCTCTGCTACTGTAACTTCTTCTAATGCGAAACGAATTCTTTTCAAAATAAATAAATATGCCATTTTCAAAATAAATTTATGCAAACCGACACACCTGATGATGACCGTTTGAGTTATGGTCGAAACGTCGTGAGAATTTTTATTGTTTTATATATATTTTGTTATTTTGTTGTTTCTCTTCAACGTGACTTTACCGAAAAAACTAAGAATATGAATTACTGCAGTCACGAAAGCTTTAAATCAAAATTTAGAGACGAAGCAGTTAGCAATGGAGAGAGCATAGTGACGGTGATAGCGGAGTGCAGAGACGAAATATTTAGCAGTGGAGAGAGCATAGCGATGGTGATAGCGGAGAGCGGAGACGAAGAAGTTAGCGGCGGAGTAAGCGAAGTGATCGTGGGGAGTGGAGAGACAAAGGTGGCGAGCGAGTCGAGTGAAGCACGGCGAGCGAGCCGTGGCGACCTGGATACTGTAAAATATTGAGGACGTGCTGAGAGTTGTAAATAAAGCGGTGTTCGAAGAAAGACAAAAGTTGTCCGAGTGAAATCGAACACTACACATGTATTTTTTGCTATAAATGCTATTTGTCTTAAATGTTATGAAAACAATATATAAGTGCTAGATTTAGAAATGAAATAACCCCGTGACACCAAATCTGATTACCCTTATAATGTGTATTTTGGTATTTTCATGTAATATTTTATGGCTGTTCCGTTTTTGCAAATATGACAGTGCCATGTAGTCAAACACAGATCCACACATACACACAAATGTCATATATCTCCATATAATCTGAGGGTAATGTAGTATTGTAAATATATACCTACATATGTACATGTAATTTTTAAGGAGTGTCATTGACGAATATGTTGAGTTTCATGTAGAGATTGAGTTTGGTACAGTACAAAGAGATTTTCTTTTGGGGATTGCGTAAAGGTTGGAGGTTGGATGATATAGAATGTGGTGGGATGACCTTCCGGAAAACAGCTCAGAAACTCAGTGAAGTATTCACAGATTAATCATTATCGTTGTAATTGGTGCACTACTCCACCGTAATACGTGGTGAATTGGTGTATAGTCTATTAATTTGGAGGATTGACTTTTCTGAAACGGAAATTTTTCCATGAATTACTTGGAAACCAATGGTTCACGAATCGGTTCCACTTCATTCATTCCACGAGAGACTTTTAGATGCCAACCCATTACCAGGATTTGAACTCGCTCGCTTCTGACTGTGAGACAGGCACTCTGCCGAGCTGGTTAAATATAAATGTAACGTCGTTGACGTTCACATGCAGCTCCTCAGTGATGCACACACGGGCAGACTGCGGTGCCGAGGGCACAGAGGGGTGGGCACGCGGTGCTGTGTGGGTTGTGCTCTCATGAGGCCGGTCAGGGGAGATGTGGTGGAGTTGAGGTGGGATGTGGGTAATAACACGAGCGATGCGGTGGTTTGGGGGGAGTGCGGTAGTGTAATGGTGAGCGCGCTGCGCTATGAACCCAGCCCCCGAGTTCGATTCCCACTCACGGCTACTAACACCAGTGACGATTATCTGAACCGGTCCTGGGCCTCCCCTAGGTCGACTCAGCACTCATATGAGTGCCTGGTGCGGTGTGTAAACATCGCCACTGGGGAGACAAAGGCGGCTGGGTGTGGTGCTGGCTACCCACCCCCTCATGTGCCGTGCCAGCCTTCATAGGTGCTCACTAACAGCACTTGTTAAGGCTATGTGTGGGTTGTGGAAGAAAGTTGAACGGTCAGAAACAATATCCGTGATGGTCTAATTACTTTGGGGGGTTTATTAGTTTAAGCCATTTATTATTGGTGGGTGAAGGCGCCCTCATTAAAATTAATTTGCTGTCGTGTTCAGCTTCATGTAGTCATGAAACACCCATATATATTTAGACACTAATTATATTTAAAATCCCGCTAGAGACTCCTTTTTCATGAACTCAAGAGTCCTTGAGTTCATTACATAATCGTCCTAAACATCTACCACGGTATACAGCGAATAAACCCGTACATTTTCACAACTGCTTTCCATCCTATTTAAGTTGGAAGAGTGGCCTGGCTAAGTGCTTTCGTTGCGAATGTTAAACTAATAAAAAATGTCCAGTCAACGTGCTTTCGGTTGTGATTCACCGTGTCGGACGTTACCATTCCGTGTCATTACGCATCCACTTGTGAACGTTTCTGTGTTGTGCTATTGCCCTGCATTGTCCTGTGCAACTGCGATGGCGACATCTCCAGCAGCATGCGAGTCTGTCTCCACTGCTTGACGAAGACCCCCTGTCTCGTCTAGATACTACTGGTATGACATGAACATAAGCAATGAGACTGTTACTCGAATTTAATACTTGCCCAGACCTGTTGGCAAATTTAAACAAATTCGACTATTTTATGAAAAACAAAAGTGTTTATCAGCAAATATACTGAAACTATAGTCGTCGGCAACTTCATTCATTGCAATTCTGGTTACCCACAGGGTGAGCCAATCAGCACGCTGTCCTTTTCATCTGCAATGTACGGAAAGGCCCGGGATAAACACGGTGCGAATTTAACTGAGAACAAGCAATCTTGTTATTCGTTTCTGTTTAACGTGTTAGAGAAGTCACAGTATATGTATCCTAATATTCATAAGTTATTATAGACAACATGTTTATGGATGAGAAAAACGTTAATACATGATGTCAGTCTTAGTTGTTAACACGTCGCCATGATGCGGCATCTGTATAGAGCAGTGGTTCTCAATTTTTCTGGTAATGTGCCGCCCCCCTCCCAATCTCAGCTCCAAAAACAAAATGTTCTTTAACTCAGGGCCACGATAGATGGAGAGAAATAGAGAGATCACATGTCCACGCCTCTGGTCATTGTTTCGTGTAGTAGGCGAGTGCGTTTGTCACCGCGAACACGGCGTTAATGTTTCAGCGCAATTTACACATTTATCTTGCACGGCGTCTACGCCGCAGACTGCTCCCCTTTCCGATCATCCTCTCATTCCCAGAGGGTACGCGACCCCTCGATCAAAAGGTGCTGGCGTAGAACCACTGCTGAGATACGTCACAGCAATCTCTCGTCACAATCCCAAGGGGTGCCACTGTGGTGAGATGTTAACTACCTCGCCTGGTGTGCAGAAGGTCGTGGGTTCGATCCCGACCCTGATGCCTGTATATATTTGGAATTTGCATGTCTCTCGTCCTGTGGTAGTGTGGAATTTTTCTCCGGGTCCTCCGGTTTCCTCCTCCACATTCATAAACATGCATCTAGAAGTATTTGGCTGATATCATTTACACATGACAAACTAAAGCTATTAAACTATGTTTATTTTACCAGGTAAGGCCCACTGAAAAATATTTTTTAAATTTAGAAGCGACCTGGCAAGCACAAATGATAGCTCAACGAAGTGGCTTACCATGTGGAAATTCTAGCAGAGGGAAAACCGGAAAACCCGAAGAAAAATCCACGTGAGCACGGGGAGAGAGAGAAACATGCAAACTCCAAATATACAGCAGGCGCCAGGGTTGGGATCGAACCCACGAATCTCCTGCAAACCAAGCGAGGTAGTTAACATCCTCGCCACCGTGGCGAGATATTGCCACATTTTGAAACATGCACTTAGAATCTCGAATTAAAGCTTTCGTGACTGCATGAATTCATATTCTTGGGTCTTTTGGTAAAGTCACGTAGATGGGTATTTTTATTTTCTTTGAACTTATCTACGTGACTTTACCGAAAGACCCAAGAATATGTGTTAAGAGTATTTGGCTGCTATAAATGTCCACATGATAAGCCACTTCGTTGAGCTATCATTTGTGATAGCCAGCGCGCTTCTGAAAAAGAGCTACAGAGTTCAGTGGGCCTTGCCTGGTAAATTAAATCAAAACTTAAAAAAGTTAAACATCTCCGGCATCTCTGCTCACGCCAGGAATCGTTCGGCTCGGCACTGAGTGGCGGCCGCCAGGGATCGCCACCGTCTTACGCCTTGGAGGAGTGGGCGGGGTACCCTCACGCCTCCTGGTGGCCACTCTCACGCATCGCGTCCGTGAGAGCGCAGGGCTCGAGAGGAGGGGGAGGAGGGGGGTGAGATGGAGGGGGTGGAGGAGGAGTGAGGAGGAGGACGGGGCAGGAGGAGGGAGGATGGAGGAGGCGGCTCCTGTCAGGGCGGACAGGAGGTGACGCAGCCGCCGCGGTGCATTGCGGCCGCCGGCACCACCACACGGCCTCCGTCAGCACAGCGAGGCCCAGGCGGCGAGGTCCCACGTAGTGAGGGTCCACCAAGGAGTCCCTGCTCGGGCCCATGGCCTCGCCGCAGAAGAAGAGAGGCGGCGTTGGCGGCGTTAGTAACGGCGCCGTGAAGTCGCCTTGGAGCAAAGCGCTGAGCGCCGGCGCGCAATGGGGAGACAAGGCAAGAGGAGGCCCCGTCGCATCATCCCTCATCGATCTGATGTCTCATCGATCTCTAAACTCTCATCTCTGGTGTCTCTCTCAACCGTGCCTAGATAAGGGCCAAGCCATTCCCTCCTGCTGCCTCTCGTCTGCCTCCATCCCTGTGGTGTGCCCCACGCCGTCCCCCCCCCCGCCGTCTCCCCCCCCCCCCCCGCCGTCTCCCCCCCCCTCCCCGCCGTCTCCCCCCCCCTCCCCGCCGTCTCCCCCCCCCCCCGCCTTCTCTCTCCCCCCGCCCCCGCCGTCTCTCTCCCCCCGCCGTCTCCCCCCCCCCGCAGTCTCCCCCGCCCCCCCGCCGTCTGCCCCCCCCGCCGTCTCCCCCGCCCCCCTGCCGTCTGCCCCCCCCCCGCCGTCTCCCCCGCCCCCCTGCCGTCTGCCCCCCCCCCGCCGTCTCCCCCGCCCCCCCGCCGTCTCCCCCGCCGTCTCCCCCCCCCCCGTCTCCCCCCCCCCCCCGGCTCCCCCCCCCCGTCTCCCCCCCCCCCCCGTCTCCCCCCCCCCCCGTCTCCCCCCCCCCCCCGTCTCCCCCCCCCCCGTCTCCCCCCCCCCCCCGTCTCCCCCCCCCCCCCGTCTCCCCCCCCCCCGTCTCCCCCTCCCGCCGTCTCCCGCTCCGTCATCTCCCACCGCACCCAGCCCCCGTCTCTCCTCGCGGCCCCCCCTGGCGAAGAGGCCCCCAGGGGTCCCCCAGAGGACCCCCAGTGGCACGGGCGAGATGTTCACTCCCTCGCCTGGCGTACAGGAGCACGTGGGTTCGATCCCTACCCGCCTGCTGTCTATTTGTAGTTTGCGCGTCTCTCTCCCCGTGGTCGCGTGGATTTTTCTCCGGGTCCGCCGGTTTTTCCCTTCCACATTTAGAATCAACATCACGCGTTCAGATTATTTGGCTGCTTTACATTTCCACATTATAAGCCACTTTGTTGAGCTATCATTTGTTGCGTCTGATAAAGAGCTACAGAGCTCAGTGCACTTTACCTGGTACAATAAAAAAATATATATAGTTGAGTGGAATGGTTTGTGGGGTTTCAAGTCGCTGCTTTTAAAGTGGCGACCAGAGACACATCAGCCGCACGTGAAACCCAATACATGCCCTTGCCACTTTCAGGCATGGCAGTCTTAATTGCTTTACATGTTTCAAAAATAGTCGCGTGACGTTGCATCTCATAACACATTTATTTAATATAGAATGCTCCGTAATAGTATTTGTACATTCAGGGTCAATATGTACATCTAGACACGATCTCAGTGTTGCATCTGCCGTTTATCGCGTTAAAAGCATTGCAGGAGGAGCCGTGCAGGTGGAGCCGTGCAGGCGATATTCCTTGCACAAGAGAATTGTCTCTGTGACTTCTCATTTGGTCGTGGGTTTTTGTTGGTTTGTTAGATCTTTGAACTGTCATTTTGGCATTCTCTCCCAAGTGTATCGTTATTCTCCCGAGTGATCAATGGCGGTGGCTTCGGGTGGCGCGCGGGGTCTCCGTAACGGCTTCGTCTCTGCGATCCTCTTCAGGACGAGTTCCTGGACGTCATCTACTGGATCCGTCAGATCATTGGGCTGGTTCTGGGTGTCGTCTGGGGAGTCGTTCCCCTCAAGGGGATTGTCGCCATCCTGCTGTGAGTACGCGCAAACCAACAACGCAATGCTCATGTACCACCCTGAGCTGCTTCGTGTGCGTGTCATCCTACCGCATTGATAAACTAAAACTCAACTATCTTTATTTGAATTCAGCTATCGTTTTTTTATTCTACCAGGGTAAGGCCCACTGAGCTGTGGTAGCTCCTTATCAGAAGTGACTTGGCTCACACAAATGAAAGCTCAATGAAGTGGCTTATTTGGAAATTTATAGCAGCCAAATATTCTTCAACGCGTGAGGTTGATTCTAAATATGGAGGTGAAAACCAGAGGACCTGGATAAAAATCCACGCGCCCACCGAGAAACACGCAAACTGAAAATATACAGCAGGCATTAAGGTCAGGATTGAACCCATGACCTGCTGCATACCAGGCGAGGTAGTTAACATCTTACCAGTGACACCCACTTAGCACACAGGTCATCAGAAACTTGAAAATGTATGACGTTCATATTTGATGGTGGTAAACACATCTGATTGGATTGTTGATGATGTAATGACCCACATTTTAAAATACTGTTTTTTTAAACACTGGTTTAACATATACGAATTGAAGCACTTTGATTCTTGTTATTAAAGAACATTAGGATCTATGGATGAAATGCACCTTACAAATATAAATTACTAGCTTCGCCCGGGACTTGGATCCACCACGCGCGGGCCGCCTTTGTCTCCCCAGTGGCGATGTTCACACACCACAGCAGTTACTCGTTTGAGGCTGAGTCGACTTAGGGGAGGCCCAGGACCGGTTCAAATAATCGTCACTGGTGTTGGCTGTGAGCGGGAATCGAACTCGGGTCGCCGGGTTTGTAGCGCAGCGCGCGAATCGCTATGCAGTCCCCCCCCTCCCCACACACACAGGATAAAGACAAAATCCCCCGTGTAGCCTGTAGGGGGCAAGTGCTGTTAGCGAGCACCTATGAAGGCCGGCACGGCCTTCATAGGTGCTCGCTAACAGCACTTGCCAAAAGTGTATTTTTAAAAAATTTTCATGGTGTAGTCTGGAAAGTACCCACATGGCAAATTTCAAGTTTGTTGCATGTCGGGAAGTACGCTAAACATTTTGGACACACATATTCACAACTTTGCATTTTATATATATGGAGATTATTAACATGAGCTTAACATTAATTCATCGATGCTTTTTATTGATACCATCTGGCCAAGGAGGACAGAAATGGGGATGGAGCAGAAGCTGAATCCACAGAGCCACGTGGCTTATGGAGCACTGGAACAAGTATTTGAGCCAAGCTGTTGATTATGGAACAGCCCAGGAATATTGCTGGGCCACCAAGCCAGTGATCGTGGACGCGTAGCGTCAGTGTGCTATGAGAAGCGTATCTTTAGGCAACTGTGTGAAGCATTTTAAAAATATATAAACTCGATTTAAGGTCCCTATTACTGTGATTTATTTTGCAGGGAGGGGCGTTTGATGAAGAAAAGATGACTTTTGTATTATATGTGCGTAACTCTCTAACGTGAGATGAATAACAGTAAACAATGGTAGTACTAACTCTAAAGTAAGTCTCCCTGCTGAAACAAACCTGGGGCGGTGCTCGTCTCTTGAAAGGAGATTGGTCACAGCTGAAATTTCTCAGAGTTGACTTGCAAATATGACGATAGGCCGAGTCCTCAACGCATTGCTGAATACTTTAAAAGTTTGTCTGAAGTTTTAAGAAGCTGCAGTGGAGTCAGCACGGACTTGCAGTGGATGGCCAATTGTGGCCAACTTTTATCTCCCACTCGCTTTACCATTTACCTCGTATGCACTGGGTTATCAGCTGTATTTAAACCACTCTCTCAGTCACAGTATATGATGAGTTCTGGTCGTCTGAACAAACACAACGCTATCATATGGACACCATTAATGTTGCTCGCAACTCGGGGTTTAACGATTCACCACCTCCACAATTCAATGAGTTGTCATAAACAGTGGTCACAGTTCAATTCACAAATACATTATATCTGCCATTATGCTGCATGTAAAATCTATCATGTTATCAATGTATAATATGTAAACAGTTGCTTTTTACCTGCGCAGTGTAATGCACGTTTGAAACGTAAGATTAGATTGTGTTACCATACTGAGAACCCCCAATGAGCAAGATAAAAAAAAAGGCTGAGAACAAGACCCTGCCATTTGCCCCTTTTGATAAATTTTCACGAGTCATATTTGAATCCAGCGTTATTCGCATTCGGGGCCCTCCATAAATGACGTCACACGATTTTGGACGATTTTCGACCGCCCCCCTCCCTTCGTCACACGGCGTCACGAAAAGTCAGACCCCCCCTCAAATATGACGTCACAAAGCTCTGCCCCCCCCAAAAAAAAATCCTTCAAATCGCTTTAAAATATTATCATAGTGCGTATTTAATGTGGCGCTGCACTCTGTTGTAGGATAAAGCATTTATTAAAAAGTCAATTTAATGAAGTAGAACGTGTTGTATATACTTATTTAAAGTTGCGCATTTTGATGTGACGTCACATTTCCCAAACTCCCCCCCCCCCCCTCGTCACACATCGTCACAAATGTCTGACCCCCCCAGGTGCGTGACGTGACGTCATTTATGGACGGCCCCTTATCCCTTCGGGGAGCGCACATTTTGAGTGTGGTCCTGGCCTGTGTGTTCCCGCAGATTCTGCGTGATAAACGCAGGCTTGCTCTACTTGTACTTCAGTAGCTTCCAAAAGGTGGACGAGGAGGAGTATGGTGGCACGTGGGAGCTGACCAAGGAGGGCTTCATGACATCTTTCTCTTTATTCTTGGTGAGACTGTCCTCATTCTGATTCAGCGCATGGTATTCTCACAAACAGTAATTTTGATAGTAAACTCATTTTAACTTGCAAGTTTGAATATTGTAGTATAATACTAAGGAAAACAAAAGAGCTGTCGTTATCTGTAAAATATGGTCTATGGAATGCTTGATTTTCACTCGATAATATATTCAGTAGCATATTTGAATATTGTCACATGTAGCTATATAATGTAATTGGAATGTGAATTTGTAAAAATCATTCGAGAGAATCTCTGATAAATCTTGACTTAAAGCCTTCGTGACTGCAGGAATTCATATTCTTTGGGTCTTTCGTAAAGTCAAGTAGAACAAATTTTTATTTTACAAAAACTACGTCGTTTCGATCGCAACACAAGCAATCGTCATCAGGAGAAAGATGACGATTTCTTGTGTTGCGATCGAAACGTTGTAGTTTTTTGTTAAAAAATTGTTCTACGTGACTTTACCGAAAGATCCAAAGAATAGAATCTCTGATACTAATCATGTACAAACCCTGTAGCCAAAATATCTTCAACAGCAATTGCAGCACGATCTTATTAGACTTCAGAGGGGAGGCCAATCCTGGTTACAACTTAGATGGTTGAGCATTATCTAAAGGTCATAATAAACAATGAAAGATCTACCAATGAGTGCACAAACAATCGGTAAAATTCAATTATTATTTTTTCAATCAATTTGGCAAATTCCAGCCCTGGCAAATTAGAAATACCTGTGGAGGGATGAACCTTTCACAGTGTAGTAAGGTGCATAGGAAAGTGTTTCCCCTGAGTGTGCGTGTAAAACAATGTTACTTGAAAAGGAATCGCGAAAGGCCGAATGCAGGCTTAATGCTTCACATGGGCGATACACTGGTGGCTAGGGATCTGAATGACCATACGGCCTCGTGACATGATGCCAAAAGACAACGAATTGGAATACAAGTGAGAAAAAGGCAATTGTTTACAATGTTTTCCTTTTTTTCAGGTTGTCTGGGCGATCTTCTACACTGCATTACATTACGAATGACCTTGGATAATTTTGAAAAATAAATATTTTTTTCTCCATAGTTATGGAAAAGTTTTTAAACATGTGTTTTAAACACTGCTATCCCATGCAAGCACCATTCATATTGTGGCCAGACTACTTTTTTTAATAGTTTGAACCACACTTTCATGTGTATGGGGGCAGTTTAATGAAATATCTCAGCCCACGTCACAGTTCACTACATATTCATTCCAAGCTTTGGTATGGAGACTATTGAAAATGTGCCATCCGTCAGAAGGACATTTAAGGCTGGTCCGGAATCCTATTGTGAAAAATACGCATGCATTTAGGTTCCTGAGCGATGACCATTGTGTACAAACAAGTTTCATCTCAAAAGCAATCGCGTGAACACATGGACAGTATCAGCATTTTAAAAAGTGTCCTTTTTAAGAAGTGCTGTATTATGGTATTTTTAATCCACAAATTGGAAGATACCAAAGTAGTATATTTTATCCGACTACATTCTGGCAGCTGCCAGTATCTTAACAGGACCTATCTGCAAACAAGTTGTAGAATTTTTCAAACCCATCAGTGGGCTGTGCACCCACCACAGGTTAAGAGCTCATCCACGCAGAATGTTGAGGTGGTTACGAAATGAATAAATATGAAGCGATTTTATACGTGTTGTATTCTCAATAATTGAATCCACACATTTTTATTTGTGACATGTATTTGCAGTGTCTATCTTAATACACCATAGACTCCAATGTTAAATTTCAATCATCACTGTAAACGTATACCTGTAACAATCTAAACAATCTAAATCAAGATGCACTTTGTTACGAATGTCAGGCATAAGATACATTTTAAGCTGTTGAATGAGGCACTTGAGCAGAGCCTTGCTCGACGATGCTTTAGAATTTGGATGCCGAGAGGCTGAGCATCCACTTGGGAACCTTTATGAAGCTGGGGATAACGCAGGACATCCAGGCTAGCCCTGGGACCTGTGTCACCAGAAACTTGAGTGACGTGTAGTTAACCGGCACGCTGCCTGCAACACAACATTCACATTAATAGTAAAACAAAACGAGAACAGCATCAGGCGAAGACCCTTTTCGTCAATGTTCCCAAAAAAACTGAATGGTATCGCAGCAGCCATCGAAGTCCCTGGGTTTCAGCCACTTCACGGAAATAATTTACATTTGTAAGGCGCATTTGATCCGTAGATCCCAATGTGTCATTGAGAGCAGTAAATAAACAGAACTTGGGAATAAAGCGCAGTTTTAAAGAGATGAGTTTTCAAGACAGACAAATATAGCCACCGATTCAGTCTTATTAAGCTCACTTGCCAGCGTACGTTATGAAAATCTACCAGTAGAAAAAGGTGCGCATTTTATTTTGCACCTGTGCTGCTACCCCATGAATGCTGCTCCTGGTAAAGGTGTTTAGATTACATATATATTTGCACGTCATCTCTTCTACAGTGAAGGAAAAAAGTATTTGATCCCCTGCTGATTTTGTACATTTGCCCACTGACAAAGTAATGATCAGTCTTTAATTTTAATGGTAGGTTTATTTGAACAGTGAGAGACAGAATAACAACAACAAAAATCCAGAAGAACACGTCAAAAATGTTATAAATGATTTGCATTTTAATGAGGGAAATAAGTATTTGACCCCTCTGCAAAACATGACTTAGTACTTGGTGGCAAAACCCTTTTTGGCAATCACAGAGGTCAGACGTTTCTTGTAGTTGGCCACCAGGTTTGCACACATCTCAGGAGGGATTTTGTCCCACTCCGATTTGCAGATCTTCTCCAAGTCCTTGAGGTTTCGAGGCTGACGTTTGGCAACTCGAACCTTCAGCATCCTCCACAGATTTTCTATGGGATTAAGGTCTGGAGACTGGCTAGGCCACTCCAGGACCTTAATGTGCTTCTTCTTGAGCCACTCCTTTGTTGTCTTGGCCGTCTGTTTTGGGTCATTGTCATGCTGGAATACCCATCCACGACCCATTTTCAATGCCCTGGCTGAGGGAAGGAGGTTCTCACCAAAGATTTGACGGTACATGGCCCCGTCCATCGTCCCTTTGATGCGGTGAAGTTGTCCTGTCCCCTTAGCAGAAAAATACCCCCAAAGCATAATGTTTCCACCTCCATGTTTGACGGTGGGGATGGTGTTCTTGGGGTCATAGGCAGCATTCCTCCTCCTCCAAACACGGCGAGTTGAGTTGATGCCAAAGAGCTCCATTTTGGTCTCATCTGACCACAACACTTTCACCCAGTTGTCCTCTGTATCATTCAGATGTTCATTGGCAAACTTCAGACGGGCATGTATATGTGCTTTCTTGAGCAGGGGGACCTTGCGGGCGCTGCAGGATTTCAGTCCTTCACGGCGTAGTGTGTTAACAATTGTTTCTTGGTGACTATGGTCCCAGCTGCCTTGAGATCATTGACAACATCCTCCCGTGTAGTTCTGGACTGATTCGTCACCGTTCTCATGATCATTGCAACTCCATGAGGTGAGACCTTGCATGGAGCCCCAGGCCGAGGGAGATTGACAGCTCTTTTGTGTTTCTTCCATTTGCGAATAATCGCACCAACTGTTGTCACCTTCTCACCAAGCTGCTTGGCAATGGTCTTGTAGCCCATTCCAGCTTTGTGTAGGTCTACAATCTTGTCCCTGACATCCTTGGAGAGATCTTTGGTCTTGGCCATGGTGGAGAGTTTGGAATCTGATTGATTGATTGCTTCTGTGGACAGGTGTCTTCTATACAGGTAACAAGCTGAGATTAGGAGCACTCCCTTTAAGAGTGCTCCTAATCTCAGCTCGTTACCTGTATAAAAGACACCTGGGAGCCAGAAATCTTTCAGATTGAGAGGAGGGGTCAAATATTTATGTATATCAATTTATAACAGTTTTGACATGCGTTTTTCTGGATTTTGGTGTTGTTATTCTGTCTCTCACTGTTCAAACAAACCTACCATTAAAATTATAGACTGATCATTTCTTTGTCAGTGGGCAAACATACAAAATCAGCAAGGGATAAAATACTTTTTTCCCTCACTGTAAGGTGTTTTTTTTCTGTCTCGGTGCAGCTGATTTTCCAGTCTGGTCAGATGTTCCCAATGTACGGATATTTCACGTCAAATACCTCGTTGGATTATGGTTTTCACTCTGCATAAAGCGCCAGACTTTGCCCCTTTTTGTCAAATAATTGTTTGTGTTCAACTTTATATTAGAGGTCATGAGGCCCATTAAATGTGACAAAAATATTGGCCTCATGAACGAAAAATATGACAAATTATCGCTATAACTAGCAGAGGGCACTGGTGAATAAGTAGCGCGGATAACTTGTACGCGAGAGGGTAGCTTGTCCTCAGGATGGGATGGCACGACACCTGACCCTCGCCAGACTAAATTATGTAAACTTTTAATTTACCAGGTAAGGCCCACTGAGTTGTACAGCTCTTTTTCAGAAGCGACCTGGCCACAAATGATAGTTCAACGAAGTGGCTTATATGAAAATTCATAGCAGGCAAATACTCTAAACGCTTCAAACTAGTTCGAAGCTTTCATGACTGCAGGAATTACTCTTTGGTTCCTTCGGTAAAGTCACATAGAAAATCAAATAGAATACGACGTTTCGATTGCAACACAAGCAACCGTCATCAGGTAAGAATGAATGAGAAAAAACATAGTAAACAATGTTAACCGACTCTGTGTGGAATTACATTACACTTAAATTTTGATTTAAAGCTTTCGTGACTGCAGTAATTCATATTCTTAGTTCTTTCGGTAAAGTCACGTTGAAGGGAAACAACAAAATAATAAAATATATATAAAACAATAAAAATTCTCACGACGTTTCGACCATAACACAAACGGTCGTCTTCAGGTGTGTTGGTTTGCATAAATCTATTTTTAAACGGTGTATTTATTTATTTATAAAGAAACGTTAGCGCCACCCGCAGCGATTTGGCAGTTTATTTAGGACTAGTCCATCTATGTTCTGAAAAGAGGAGGGGGGAGACGAAATTTTTTTATATAATGTATGCTGTCTGAAAGCCACTGTAAGCGTGAACAATCAATTAAGACCTGAAATGGTTTATCAAATCTTTCCAATGATTGCTAAGATTGAATCCATCTTCTCGGTTGAAATTGTCTCTGTGCTTGTATATGTGGAAGATGGATTCTATCTTAGCAATCATTGGAAAGATTTGATAAACCATTTCAGGTCTTAATTGATTGTTCACACTTACAGTGGCTTTCAGACAGCATACATTATAAAAAAAAAATTCGTCTCCCCCCTCCTCTTTTCAGAACATAGATGGACTAGTCCTAAATAAACTGCCAAATCGCTGCGCGTGGCGCTAACGTGTTTTTTTTATAAATAAATAAATAATTCCACCGTTTAAAAATAGATTTATGCAAACCAACACACCTGAAGACGACCGTTTGTGTTATGGTCGAAACGTGACAATTTTTATTGTTTTATATATATTTTATTATTTTGTTGTTTCCCTTCAACGTGACTTTACCGAAAGAACTAAGATTATACATTACACTTCCTAATTTTACAAAATTTTGGTTTCTCAAACTTCCGATTTTCTTACTCTAAATATTGCCGTGCTGCTTGTTTATAGTCCATTGTCTCTCCTCTGGCCACTATCGTCCGGAATTCCACTCAACTATTCTTTGGAGGAGCGTGGTCTGCCTCCGGCCACTGTGGTCCAGAATTCCACACAACTCTCTCATTGTCCTCTGCCCCAATCCCTCCCCCCCTCTCTCTATTTAAAGCCTCGACACAGTGGCGCTGTCTTTCTTTTTGTCATTTGGAGGAGCGTGGTCAGCCAGGTAGAGTGTTGGCTGTGATGTTGTCCGGCTCTCTGTGTTGTGTTGCATTGTGTTTCTAAGTTTACGATGTTTTTTTCTCATTCATTCTTACCTGATGACGGTTGCTTGTGTTGAAATCGAAACGTCGTATTCTATTATTTTATTTTCTACGTGACTTTACCGAAAGAACCAAAGAGTAACTCTACACTCTTGTTTCTAAATGTGGAGGAAAAACTGGAGGACCAGGAGAAGAATCCACGTGACCACAGGGAAAACACACAAACTTCATATATACAAGCGTCAAGGTCAGGATCGAACCCATGACCTGTATACCAGGAAAAGTAGTTAACATCTCGTCACCGTGGCGCCCTGAGATACCTCTCAACTGGCGCCACGAGCCAGGTACCACTCGCCAAACACTGGATAAATGTCAGGAGAGAATTTGCCATCTCGTTTGGGTGACTTATCTGTGAAATAGCCGTGGACAACAGGTACAGGATAATAGGGTTGCAGATAACAATAAGCTCAATTGTGCAGTATATCACAGTAATTATAATTCCATCGAGATTAGCCCATCTGGATCAAATTAGACCCACTGAATTATGGATAGGAACTGGTTTACATTTCGGGTCACAATCGAAAGCAGGTGATGCGTTTCAATTGGAGCTGAACTGCACCCCTAGAAATTGAGATTCAGCAAGTGCTTGGCTCCTCGAGATGTAGCTTGGGTTTGAAAATTAGTGTGAGAATTCCATTAACTATGACGAATGATGCCCCACTTACCATCCACATCCTTGAGGCCATACTCGGAGGCAAGGTCAGCTGTCATTAGCACTCGGCCGGACTTCTTCATGATGTTTTTGTCTATTAAACAAAAAGCGTGCATATTCATTGTTCCTGTAACACTTGCACAACATGCACGCGTGTCCTCGGAAATGTTCGTTTTTAAATAACGATAATTCAAGCCGCATAAATAACATCACAGGAATGACGTCAGGATGGGAGGCACATGGTTCTTTTTAGCGCTGGTTTTGTAGCACTAGTTTTCATCTCCAGGTGTCGGGCAACACGTTTATAAAGTTTTGCAGTTTCTGTTGCGTAACACTTTATATTACAGTTTTGCTCATATTGAATCTTCTTTACAGTCGTAATCATGAAAAACTAATGCAACGGAATATTAGCTCTGTTCAACAATCTACTAGAACTATACGTTATCCATTAAAATTACATTTAAGACAGTCCTCGACTTACGAACACTCGCACTTACGAACCAGCTTCCATGACTTTTTTTTACATCGACTTAAAACTGAACCCGCACTTGCAAACTGAACTGCGGAACTATTTTGTTCAGCGGAGAGATCCTCCGCGAGATGTAATGAGTCAGCCTCGCGCTGGGAGTAAGTGAGAAAGTGAGTGTGTGTGTGTGCACGCGCAGATGTGTGAAAGTGAGAGTATGCGTGTATGTGTCTGCATGCTCCTGTGTGTGTGTGTGTGCAATTGTGGTGACTCGTGCCCCTTCTGACAAGCCAGCATCAGGGCTCAAGGTAAGTGAAAATTAAACAGATTGTTATTCTATTTGTTACTTTATTTTATTTAGTATGAAGTAATTATTACAGTATTCCATGCAAATATACAATATTTCTTATTTACGAGTTTAAAAATGCTTCCCTTTTTTGTTGAACCATAACACATTTTATAACACTGCGTTTAAATGCAGTACATTGTTGTGTTCCGACTTACGAATCCTTCGACTTTCAAACGGGTCTCATGAATGGAGCCCGTTCGTAAGTCAATGGACTGCCCATATCACATTTCAGGTTCCTGCTTGACATTGTGCCATCTCCAGTCATCCAGTAGCATACATGCCACTTGATGTTTCCAATGTATCCATATAGAAGTTAGAGTAAAATCAAGAGTTCACACTAATGATAATCCATACTCTTTGGTTCTTTCGGTAAAGTCACGTAGGTAGAAAAAATATATAATAGATCACGACGTTTCGATCGCAACAAGGTGAAAGAATCAGACTGCTGTGGACGAGGCATTATATTGACCCGAGAGGGGGGGAGGGTGGGGGGGATTGCCACATCGGGCAAGAGGGTGGGGCCAGCGATTGTAACTTGTGAGCATGAGAGTGCAATCCAAAGGACCTGTGAGCATGAGAGTGCAATCCAAGAGATCGGCTATAGGGGGGAGAGAGAAGGGGGGGGGGGGAGATAGAAGGGGGGGGGGAGGAGGAGAGATCTAAAAGAGAGGCACAGAGAGAGGGAGACAGAGTCGGAAATAACAGCTGACATAGGCAGGTAGGATGGAAACATCACAGTTAAGACTTTACCTGGTTAATAACGTCCTTCCAATGATTGCTCAGTTTATACCCATCTTCTCGTTGAAGTTGTGTCTGTGTTTATATATCTGGATGGCTTCATGAACAAATCTCTGAAGGTAGCCGGTGGGTTTGCAGAGTACCTTCGTCTTGGAAAAATCTATTTCGTGTGAGCCCACAGCGTTAAAACAATGATCAGCAACGGCAGAGATATTCGTTTTACCGTGTTTCAGATCTGCCTTGTGTTCACAAACGCGGTCCGAGACATGTCATTTCGTTTCCCCAATATAATTGCTGCCGCAACCACAACTCAGTTTGTAGACACCAGGGTATTGCATGTCAGGAATCACATCCTTTACAGATGGGATCAAATCACGAATTTTGTGTACTGTGTTGAAACGAACCTGGATATTGTGTTTTAAGATTTTGGAAATCTTTTTGGTAACCCCTGCTATGTATGATGGTTTTGGTTGGATCCTCAGAAGGTTGTCTCCCCATGGCTGGGGAGACAAGCTTTGCGGATTGTATGGTCAGAGTATCCGTTCAGCCTGAGGGCTTGGTGTACGTGCTCCAACTCACTGACTAGGTGGTGCTGGTCGGAGATGCAACGGGCCCTATGGTGTAGTGTTTTGATGAGGGAATTCTTCTGTGTGAGATAGTGGTGAGAGTCAGACTTTAGATAGGCATCCGTGTGGGTGGCTTTCCTGTAGACAATGTCCCAACGAGCCATCAGGTCTCTTCTAGATCAAAACATCCAGGAATGGTAGCTTGTCATCCTTTTCCACTTCCATGGTGAATTTGATAGATGGGTGTATGGAATTGATGTGGTTGAGAAATTGGTTCAGTGCTGGCAGGCTATGTGGCTAGATGACAAACATGTCATCTACGTATCTCTTCCACAAGAAAGGATGTAGGGTGGATGTCAGGATGGAAACTGTCTCAAATTTCTCCATGAAAACATTCGCTACCACTGGCGATAAGGGAGAACCCATTTTGTTGTTTGTGGAATGTACCATTCCAGATGAAGTAAGTGTTGGAAAGGCAGTGCCTCACCAAAGTTGGTACATCAGCATTCAATCCTTGTTGGACCAAGTCTTAAATGATTGCAATGGTGTCAGGTACAGGTACCTTGGTGAACAGGGAGACTACATCGAAACTTTTGATTTAAAGCTTTCGTGACTGCAGTAATTAATATTCTTAGCTCTTTCGGTAAAGTACCCTGGTGTCTACAAACTAAGTTGCATCTGTGGTAGTAGTTACATTGGAGAAACCAAACGCCATGTCTCGGACCGCATTCGTGAACACAAAGCAGACCTTAAACACGGTAGGACCAACACCTCGGCCATGGCAGATCATTGTTATAATTCAGTAGGCTCACATGACATTGACTTCTCCAAGACAGAGGTTATTTATAAGGCATCTGGCTACCATGAGAGATTCGTTCATGAGGCTATCCATATATACAAGCACAGAGACAATTTCAACCGAGAAGATGGATTCTGGCTTAGCAATCATTGGAAGGATTTGATAAACCATTTCAGATCTTAATTGATTGTTCACGCTTATGGTGGCTTTCAGACAGCATACATTAATATTTCGTCTCCCCCCTCCTCTTTTCAGAACATAGATGGACTCGTCCTTCTAAACAAACTGTCAAATTGCTGACCGTGGTGCTAACGTTTTTTTTTAAATAAATAAATGCGCCGTTTACAAATAAATCAATGCAAACCGCCACTTCTTTCAAATGTTTCTTGCCATTGGTTTTTCACACCTGATGATGACCGTTTGTGTTATGGTCGAAACGTCGTGATAATTTTTATTGTTTTATATATATTTTATTTTATTGTTTCCCTTCAACGTGACTTTACCGAAAGAGCTAAGAATATACATTGAAACTGACAAGCAAATCATCTGGAGACAGTGAGATGTCCTTAATTAGAGAAACCAAGTGAGCTGAGTTAAGTACAGCTGAGGTGGTCTTGCCCGTAAAAGGAAGCAGGGTCTCAGACAGAAATCGGGCCAGTTTGTAGGTAGGTGAGTTGATGGTGATGACGATAGGACGGAGCGGGGTACCTACTTTGTGGATTTTTAGAAGGCCATAAAATCTGGGTGGTCTAGCAGCCAAAGGTTTTAGGGAGCGCTGCTTGGTCTGATCGATTAGCGAAGTCTAATTAGTGATTTGTTCATGAAGCCATCCAGATATATAAACACAGACACAACTTCAACCGAGAAGATGGGTACAAACTGAGCAATCATTGGAAGGACGTTATTAACCAGCTAAAGTCTTAACTGACTGTGATGTTTCCATTCTACCTGCCACTGTCAGCTGTTATTTCCAACTCTGTCTCCCTCTCTCTGTGCCTCTCTCTTAGATCTCTCCCCCAGTGACTCAAGTGCTGCTGCAGAGTCCCACTTTCTACCCCCCCCTTCCCCACCCCCCCTCTCCCCCCCTTCTCTCTCCCCCCTACAGCCGATCTCTTGGATTGCACTCTCATGTTCACAGGTCCTTTGGATTGCACTCTCATGCTCACAAGTTCCTCACTATCGCTGGCCCCACCCTCTTGCCCGATGCGGCAACCCCCCCCTCCCTCCACCCCTCTTGGGTCAATATAATGCCTCGTCCACAGCAGTCTGATTCTCCCACCTGTTGTTGCGATCAAAACGTCGTGATCTATTTTTTTTTCTACCTCCGTGACTTTACCAAAGAGTATGGATTCCTGCAGTCACGAAAGCTTCAAATGAAGATTGATGATAATCCATTAAATTAATCACCAATGGCACAATTCATGAACTCATCCTTGTTCAGCTCTTGTGATGCAGGCAGTCTAACTTGTCTGCAGGGTTTCGATGAGGGAGACAAATGTTTTCATTAAATGCTTACTTAAGCGGTCGATGTGGGCGTAATAATCCACGTCAGGTAATGATTTGTCACAAGCGTGCTCATCATGTAAGCCACTCCTGTTCGTGAAGAGCATAATTACCTTTAGCCAGCCCGACTATGCACTTCCCACTCAACTCTGTTGTTTCTCCATTCTCGAAAGCCTTCACCATCTACAATGACAGCAAAGAAAAATTAGCCAAATGACTACTCCTGGATTCAGGGCACACTTTTTGCCACGGTGCTTGTGACATGGCCCAGCGGTAGCGCGTTCACAGCATATGGCAGAGGTTTGTGGTGCAAAACAGGCAGATTGCCCTGATTAATACTGCAGGGTGTATTGACCAAATAATACTATGCGCCATCTGCTTCACAGTGGACGTTAAACTCCCTCAAAGTGATTTGAAGAAGAATAGGCCATTATGTAGCACTTCGATGGTCCAGATATCCCACATTACTCCATTAGGCTTACAGCAACGTCACTCACTGACTCTGAACAGTGAGCAGGACCCTCGTGAAAAAGAAGCGTAATAATGATAACAATTACCCGCTGCTTCGTAATGGATTTTGCTGTGTCCCTCGCCACCAACTCCTGCACCAGCTCCGTGCGCACGGCACCCGGCCACAGCGAGACGTAGGCCACGTTGTATTTGCGAAGCTCCACCGCACAGTCGGCAGCCAGGCGGTCACACTGCCACGGGGTCACAGAGACGCATTTCAGTGCATGCCAAGCACAACATGGATTTGTACCATGCATAACCGCCATTGCATGTGAAGAACGCGAAGTGTACAGTGAGGGAAAAAAGTATTTGATTTGTACGTTTGCCCACTGACAAAGAAATGATCAGTCTATAATTTTAATGGTAGGTTTATTTGAACAGTGAGAGACAGAATAACAACAACAAAAATCCAGAAAAACGCATGTCAAAAATGTTATAAATTGATTTGCATTTTAATGAGGGAAATAAGTATTTGACCCCCTCTCAATCAGAAAGATGTCTGGCTCCCAGGTGTCTTTTATACAGGTAACGAGCTGAGATTAGGAGCACACTCTTAAAGGGAGTGCACCTAATCTCAGCTTGTTACCTGTATAAAAGACATCTGTCCACAGAAGCAATCAATCAATCAGATTCCAAACTCTCCACCATGGCCAAGACCAGGGGTCACCAAACTACGGCCCGCGGGCCGAATCCGGCCCGCGACGTCAGTCCATCAGGCCCGCCGTCAGAGCCTACGCTCTGACGTTACCATGGTTTCCATGACAACACACAAATACCCATCTTTCCCGCCCCCAAGTATTGAACAAAATGAGTATGCGGCCCGCGCTCGTCATTCTATCAGTTATCCGGCCCGCTGTGAAAAAAGTTTGGTGACCCCTGGCCAAGACCAAAGAGCTCTCCAAGGATGTCAGGGACAAGATTGTAGACCTACACAAGGCTGGAATGGGCTACAAGACCATTGCCAAGCAGCTTGGTGAGAAGGTGACAACAGTTGGTGTGATAATTCGCAAATGGAAGAAACACAAAAGAACTGTCAATCTCCCTTGGCCTGGGGCTCCATGCAAGAGTTGCAATTATCGTGACAATGATGAGGAATCTCAAGGCAGCTGGGACCATAGTCACCAAGAAAACAATTGGTAACACACTACGCCGTGAAGGACTGAAATCCTGCAGCACCCGCAAGGTCTCCCTGCTCAAGAAAGCACATACATGCCAGTCTGAAGTTTGCCAATGAACATCTGAATGATTCAGAGGACAACTGGATGAAAGTGTTGTGGTCAGATGAGACCAAAATGGAGCTCTTTGGCATCAACTCAACTCGCCATGTTTGGAGGAGGAGGAATGCTGCCTATGACCCCAAGAACACCATCCCCACCGTCAAACATGGAGGTGGAAACATTATGCTTTGGGGGTGTTTTTCTGCTAAGGAGACAGGGCAACTTCACCGCATCAAAGGGACGATGGACAGGGCCATGTACCGTCAAATCTTGGGTGAGAACCTCCTTCCCTCAGCCAGGGTATTGAAAATGGGTCGTGGATGGGTATTCCAGCATGACAATGACCCAAAACACACGGCCAAGGCAACAAAGGAGTGGCTCAAAAAGAAGAACATTAAGGTCCTGGAGTGGCCTAGCCAGTCTCCAGACCTTAATCCCATAGAAAATCTGTGGAAGGAGCTGAAGGTTTGAGTTGCCAAACGTCAGCCTCGAAACCTTAATGACTTGGAGCAGATCTGCAAAGAGGAGTGGGACAAAATCCCTCCTGAGATGTGTGCAAACCTGGTTGCCAAATACAGGAAACGTCTGACCTCTGTGATTGCCAACAAGGGTTTTCCCACCAAGTACTAAGTCATGTTTTGCAGAGAGGTCAAATACTTATTAAATAAAAACCCTCATACGCTTGCAATTCGGCATGTAATGACACGCCCCCTTCTTCGCAATTCGATAAACTATTACGATTCAATGCAGGCACCAATACTTTTTCTTTACATGGCAGTGAACTTAGGGCCTCTAGTGGCTGTAGGGGTCATGTAAACTTATTACAAGCAGCAACACGCGAGTTAGAAATTATTGCACGCACGAATCCATGCGTGTGTCGTGAACGCAAGATTTGATTGTAATCAATGGACTGTGGTTAAGCAACTTTGTATTTAATGCGTGCACCTTTGCGTGTTATCGCTTAATCCAACACTCGTTTAAATACATGCTAAAGCCGTGGCTGCCAACCTTCTATTATGCCACTCGGCACCGTTAAACCCTAAAAAAAAATTGTAAACCACCGTGCAGTAGAGAATGCGGTGTCATGTGGACAATAAAATCGCATCTCAGAATCAGAATATTTATTAATACTGGAGGAATCCGATGAGCTTAAAGGTCTTCTTCACAGATGTCCAGTAGGGTCAGGTCAGAACGTTACAACAATACAAAAACATGATAGGAGTGAAAAGTATTGGAAAGGTAAGCAAATCACGAAGAAAAAAATCCACGGAGCACTTACCGGGCCACCAGGGGTGCCACAGACCACAGGGTGGGTGCCACCGCTCTCGAGCTAAACTATAAACTATTTTTATTATATATTATTGAACCGTGGCTTGTGGGCAAATACGGCAATGACGGTACCACAAATCAGTGCAACCAACCGCACAGTGAACAGCTTGTCTGGAAGAGACGTAAAGCCTGGACTGACTTCAGCACACAGTCTCATCAGCAGTCGGGCTCACCCAAACTTATTTTCTTTTTTATGTTATCTATTTTTGTTTTTTACCAGGTAAGGCTCAATTAGCTAGAGAGCTCTTTTTTGGAAGCGACGTGGCCACAAATGATAGTTCAACGAAGTGGCTTATAATGCGGAACTTTATAGCAGCTAATTATTCTTAAACACTTACTTCTAAATGTGGAGGGAAAAACCGGAGGATTCGGAGAAATATCCACATGACCACAGGGAGAGAGTCACGCACAACTCCAATCATCCAGCAGGCACCAGGGTCGGTATCAAACCCACAACCTCCTGCATGCTGGGTGAGGTAGTTAACATCTCGCAACAAAGCTGCCGGGGGACACTCACGGCTGCCTTGCCGACTCCGTAGGGCACACTGAAGAGGTACCGAAGGCCACCCATGGACGAGATGACGACAATGAGCCCCTGTCCCAGTTCCACCATCATCTGGCTTGCGTACACCGAGCATAGGTAGTGTCCCCTGGAGCCCGCACACACGTGGGCGCGCGCACAATAATGCGAGTCATTTCACACAAGTTTCCCACTTCAAGCATAAGGTTTTTATAGATATATTTTTTTCTGCAACCAGCATAAACTATACAATGGAACGCTCTCAAACAATGCACGAGGCATGTTCATATTTCTGGATTCATCTAAAAACGGAACCCCTAGCTTTATTTAATGAAAAATAACATTGCGTTATGCAGATACGAGTTTCATTATGATTTCAAAACGCAAGTTCAATGTATTTTAGGAGGAAATTGCAGCAGACCGGTCTACAGAGGTTATGCTTTGACGCGGCTGTATGTCTCCTGCAATGATCAAAACGCAAAATTATTTGTGGTGCCGTCAGCGCCTCAGTCTGTGCAGCGTGAAATTCAAAACACCTTTTGTTATGCAAAGTGTAGAGAGTCTAAACGCAAATTTTGTACATCAAAGGGCATTTGTTTGTTTTGTAGTTAAATTCACACCACTGTTATGTTTTATAACACATTTCTACACGCTGCGAAACACCGTGCAAGCTAAATTTTGATTTAAAGCTTTCGTGACTGCAGTAATTCATATTCTTAGTTCTTTCGGTAAAGTCACGTTGAAGGGAAACAATAAAATAATAAAATATATATAAAACAATTAAATTCTCACGACGTTTCGACCATAACACAAACGGTCATCATCAGGTGTGTCGGTTTGCATACATTTATTTATTTTTAAACGGTGTATTTATTTATTTTAAAAAAACGTTAGCGCCACGCGCAGCGATTTGGCAGTTTATTTAGAAGGACTAGTCCATCTATGTTCTGAAAAGAGGAGGGGGGAGATGGACTAGTCCTTCTAAATAAACTGCCAAATCGCTGCGCGTGGCGCTAACGTTTTTTATAACTTTACCGAAAGAACTAAGAATACCGTGCAAGCTGTTGTGCGTTATGCCAAAAGCTCGTTTGTGTCACGGTATGCATGAATACATTCATTCCGAGTTTGTGAACTTTGATGTCTCATTAAAGGCATTGCTGTGCATTACATTGGAAGGGTTTCTATGCTGCAAAATGGGTCATTCAAGTTATTGACGATATCCATGACTTGAAATGTATTACTGTAAAATGGAATGTTTTGTTTTAGCTGCGCCAAAGAGTTGGCGTGCTTTCCTGACTCACAATGGTTTAATTAACAAGAGTACGCAGGATTAATAAACAATAGCACGCACAATGCATAAACAATGGTACAAACAATTGTTGAGATTAAGTACCGTATTTTCCTGCATATAGCCCGCATACGCATATAACCCGCAGACGCATATACCCTGCAAAAATAGCGTTTTGTGTAAAACAAATTTCAGATAGCCCGCACCTCCATATACCCCGCAGGGTCTTGTTTTGTTTGTAAAAAGTGGTATACCCCGTGGGTTATATGCGGGAAAATACGTTATTAAATTTTTTTACATGAAACAAGCAATTATGAACCCTGCGGTATTAGCAGGGCACATGTCATACAGCAATGTTTAATTAGGCATGGAACGCGTCCATGAGGACAGAACACCGAGATGGAGCGATGATGTCAGTAAATGTGAAGGTGCTACATACACATAGATCACAGGAACATGAGAGTTGGTGGAGGCTCGGGGAGGCCTTTGACCAGCAGTGGATTGAACGTCCCAGAGTGTGCCGACTCACGCATGACCTCTGTGGGCTTTTTGTGATTACCAGACTATTCGTGAGGCCTGCTCTCGGTACCTTTGGCCACCGTGCGTTCTACAAAGAGCACTGTCCACTCATGCTCTTCCTCCCCTCTTAAAGTGCTAAACGTTCCCACAATGAAAAACATGTTCCCATACCGAGTCCTGTGTCTCCGAGTCCAAGTGTCTGTGTCTCTATGTGTCTCTGTGTGTCCTTGTCTCGTTGTCTGTGGTGTCCCATGCTGCATGTGTTCAACGCAGGTACTGCCCATGCACATTCTTTGATCACAGTGCATTTTAATTATTAAAATACAAATTGCAGTTAACTCAAGAATAATAGGATAGGTATGATCTCGGTCATTCTTCCAAATGACTCATTCTGGCCTGTGGAGGTCTCACCTAGTTAAACAAAATAAACCTGAAAACTTGAACCATATACATCCCAGATTGCTCTCCCCAGATTGCTCTCCCCAGACCACTGCTTTCATAACTAAATATGATCAGCGTCGTTGAATGAGACTATAAGTGGAGTGACATATGACGTCACTACTGTGTCGGGTCAGTACACACATGACGTCACTGCTATGTTGGGTCTGTACACACATGACGTCACTGCCATGTTGGGTCTGTACACACATGACGCCACTGCCTGTTCGGTATGGAGGCTGTTTACGAGTGCCACGGGGGTTGTGTCAGGCCGTGGCACTCTAAGTGACTCCGGCTGGACATGTGACCGGATCCAGGCGGGGACCAGGGGCCCTGGGGGGACCCTGGGGGTCACGTGGTTGGGGAGTGGAGCCTTCTATCGTGGGTTCGAGAAGGGGCGCGTGGCCAGGGTGTGGCCAGCCACGCCAGGGGGGCTTATAAGCTGGCTCAGCACAGAGAGCTGGGCTGTTCGTGCCTGGGATGAAGACGTCTCATGAAGAATCTGAAGAAAGAAGCCTCCAGTCATCGTGGCCAAGCAGAAGCCCTCCTGGCTTGGCCATGCCAATTAGTACCCGAGTGTAAGCGAGAGTAGGACGGTGGTCACTACCTTATGTGTAGGGTGTGTTAAATAAATAAGTGTTGCCTCCACACGAGTGTGTGCGCCTCTGTCGAACCATTACATAAGTAACAGGACAAATAAGCAGACAATACGCCTACTTCACGTTTGTACCTTTTTTACACATCTCATCAGCCACAAGGCCCATTTGGGAACACATAACCTCTGCAGCATTGGCTCAATACGAGCAAACCCTAAACTGGTTTCTAGGAACCATATCTAAACAGGGGGTGCATGCTGGGTCCTATCTGTCGGCATCTGGAAGTTCTTCAACATTGGCACTGCAGTGGCCGAGATGTAAACTACCTCGCCTAGTATGCAGGGGGTCGCAGGTTCCTTCCCGACCCTGACACCTGTATATTTGGAGCTTGCATGTTCTCCCCGTGGTTTAGTGGATTTTTCTCCAGGTCCTCCAGTTTTTCTCCTCCACATTTAGAAATGTGCGTTTAGGGTATTTAGTTGCTATAAATTTCCACACGATAAGCCATTTCCTTGACCTATCATTTGTGGTCAGGTCGCTTCTGAAAAAGAGCTATATAGCTCATTGAGCCTTACCTGGTAAAATCGAATTTTTGGTAAAAAAATAGGTTTGTGTGAGCCCGATGAGACAGTGGTGCACTGAATTCAGTCCAGGCTTTCCATCTCCTCCAGTCAAGCTGTTCGCTGTGCAGTCGGCATGTTGCACTGAATTGTGGCACCGTCATTGCCACACCACCGTATTTTCCCACGAGCCATGGCCTAAACAGCAGGGAACTGTAACGCATCTCTTCTGACAATGGCAAGTGGCCAGTCGGCCCCAACGACTTATAAATGTAATGCTGCTCCGAAGCAAACCAACTAAACAATTCCACATGCTAGCGCTGTGTACACACACCTCTACACTACTTAAAAAACAATTTAACGTATTGTTCGTTGCATCCATGCAAACCGAGTAGAATAGTTTATTTAGTACCACACAACGAAACGAAATAAATGTACTCAGTTATTGTTAAAGGTTTCGGTTTTACATAGCAGGGATAATCATGCTCTAACCTATGAGTGGCGGTGCTTGTTTAATTATACCCTTCACTCGCCCCAGCTACTGCCGAGTCACATGGATGCCTTCATTGCTTCTTAAACCGACCATTGACAACTCTCTCTCCGCTGAGGCCTTCCAAAATCCCCAGTCAGCTGACCTGATTCGAACCTAGCACCTCAGCACTGCTAGCTCTGATCTGCCCGGCTACAATAATAAGAACATTGTAATATTTAAACCACAGAGTTGGAATGGTATACACACCTCAGACCAGTGTTGTTGATGTCATCCCAGTCTGTGGCAGGCTGCTCCCAAAATGGCTTTCCAATGCCGCTGAAAACCGTCTTTGGCATTCACATTCGGGACGGGGAATGCAACAAAGACAATCTGCATATGACACTAATACTTTTGTTAGTGTTCATTTACGCCGAATGAATTACATATACGAGTATGGAAAGTTGTAGGTTTGCATTTGGCTAAGAATTTGCATCACAACTCTTGGGCACTCACTTTGACGCCGGCGTATGCGTTGTTGACCAAGATGTCAAGTCGGCCCTTCTGCTCACGCCGCACACGCTCAAACAGCGTTCGCACTTCCTCCTCCTTGGTGGAGTCGCAGGACACGGGGACGCAGCGTCCACCACGCGCTTCCACCTGCCAGAGACACGGAGAGTGGGACAAAGCCAATGGCAAATACGCGCCGTGTCATCACACACCCCACCTCCATGCCAGCCAACACACACCGTGCCGTCAAACACCCCTGAGTTTATCCTCGATTAGTTTTGTGGACTAGGAGCTATTTTCACAAACTTTTCCACTGCAAATTTGCTTATACTCGAATAGCACCACCCACCCACTTCAATGGAGATAAGTTCCACTGCAGGTGTAGTGATGTAAATGGAGTCACTATGGCGTATAGCGCCAGCTACTGTCACAAGAGTGGAACTGTGCATCTTGGCCCTCTCTTTGGCACCAGAGCAGGTATGGCATGGAAGCGGGCCCGAGAGAGCATGGTTCGGATGATGGTCAGAGAGAGGGCATGTGAGGAAGTGACAGTCTGGGTGACCCCGAGAGGGTAAGTGACCGGGACAGGGTAGCGAGGGGGCCCAAAGGGTGGCTTGAGGGACACGTGATGCTCGGTCGAGAACCTTCTGGTGAGATCCAGAAGGGGGCGTGGCCGAGGGCGGAGCAAGGCCACACTCGGAAGCATAAAGCAGAGGTCCTGAGATCAATCGCGGCTGCCTGTTAGAATGGAACCCGTCGGTGCTACGTTTCTTCGATCCTCGGTCTTAGGTCTGTACGCTCGGCATCGTGGGTCAGGCAGTGTGTGACTGAATGACCCGGTTGTGTAGTTACCCCGTTGTGGTCTAGTTAATAGTGGTAGTTATTACCTAAATATAGAACCCGTTGTTATGTTAAAGTAGTACCCCTGTTCGGGCCGTGTAATAAACGTGTTGCCTCCAAGTTCTAGTGTGTGCCTCCGTGAAGAACACTACACAGGTAAACACATGTCGATATAAACGATGTCATCATCACTGCCTGCATGACATGCCACGATGCCAAACAAAGCAACGGTCAGCCACTCGCGACCAAGGCAGCGCCATCACCTCCTCGGCGGCTTGCCGCAGCGTCTCCTGGTTGCGCCCCGTGATGTAGACCGTGGCCCCTGCCTCCGCCAGCTGCAGGGCAATGCCTTTGCCGATGCCGCGAGACGCGCCCGTCACAATGCACACTTGTCCACTCAGGGAGCCCGCCATCACGAGCAGTACTGCGAACACACAGACGCACACACACCCGGGGAGAAACCACGCCAGTAAATCATGACCATGCCAGCGTTAAATCATCGTGACTAATGGTTGCACCACAAGCCTTCTGAGATTGACCACTGTTTTTTTACACTGAAACTTGGGTGGTGCAATGCACCATTAGTGCCACAAATGTAGCGGCACGGCACGGCGGTTGCTCATTCGCTGCTCGTTGCGGAGGTTCGCGGTTCAAATCTAACAGGCCACCCTGATTATTACTGCTTTGTGCATTAAGACTATAATAGACATCTTCTGCTTTGCAGTGGACGTCAAAGAACCCGGGATATAATTTGAAGGATAGCAGGCCATTCTGTGCTGGCGTCACAGTTGAAACTGGCATTCTTTTAAAAACTACTCGCAATTGATCTCATTGGGAAGCTTAGCAATCTGTGCACTACTGCAAAACAAAATTGCAAACAAAACGGCAGGACCCTTCGAAAAAAAAAGTATTGAGACTCAGCAAGGCTGTCAGGTGGCCGTGTGGCCTATGGGGACGTGTGGATAAGGGGCCGCAGTGCCAAGGTGGCCATACTGCATTGCTGAATTTGAAACCTGGGGTCACCACCACCCTGATTAACCCGGGGGGGGGGGGGGGGGGGGTCCCAAAGCGTTGTGAGGTACTGGTCTCAGACTAGCCAACAATGACTGCACACACATAAACAACCAGCATATAGAATGTTTGTTCACTCAATTCGGCTTCTTCTGTTCTGAGAACAAAACGTTGCTTTGCTATGATTTGCACGACACGCACGCTTCGCAGAACATATAAATCAGGGTTGTTTAAGCAATAACCAGCAAACCGGTAACCATTTTCGCAATAAATTGCCAGTTCCCAAAGTCAGTAATCGGTAACCATTTCCAATGGAACACAATCGATCTTCTATTATCGGCACGCGATTATCCAGCTTCCAAATTTATCCGGCGGTCCTGGACCTATCCAGCAAAACCGCTCCAAAGGCTGTACCAGTCCAGTGATCGTCAAACCCATCATGTTGTTGAAACAGCATAGTAGGTACAGTACATCACGCCATGCAGAGTCGTCGAGATTAAAGTGGTAAGTACAGGATACTTATTTTTGTCTATTTGTATTATTTATGCCAATTTCATAGAGTAAACACATTAAAAACACACAAAAAACACAACACCTAAAACATGTTATGCAATAATATGCAAACACAAGCTATTTAAAATGTGATCATCCAGCGTTTTTTAAACTCCGACACCCCTCTTCCCCCTGAAGCTGCCGGATAATCGATGGTCGACTGTATTTAGTGATAAACAACAACCGCCATTCACCACTAAGTGGCAGTGACGTCACCACGACGCCTGTGCCAGGCCATGTGTACCTTGAGGCCACGTGAAGTGTCGAACGCCCGTGGGCAGGAGGTCACGGGGCAGACCCAGGTGCCACGGGTCGACTGAGATGACTGGCTGGTGCACCACCTGTGCCCCCTACTGTGCCAACCTGCTGTGCTTTAGCCACCCGGCGCTCCGCTCGTTGTTGTGAGCGTCGCTCTTCCGCCCTCCGTTGTTGTTGGAGGGCGACTGCCTCCAACTGTCCAATAGCGTCCTTCACGAGCCTCCTCCACAGAGGCCGATCTTGACACCGCTGGTACCAGTCATCGGCAAGTCCACTCAGCTCCACGTCCTCCTGTACCACATCACTCCATCTCTTCTCTAGTCCGTGCCGCGCCCGTTTAGCCCCCTCGATCCAGCCGAACAAAAGCTGTTTCGGCATGCGGTGGCTGGGCATGCGGGCTATATGACCCAGCCAACGCAGCCTTGCCTGGCGGAGGAGCTCACCGATGGGACCTTGCCCAGATCTTTCAAGGATTTGTGAGCTCCTCACACAATCCAGCCTGGTTAAACCTAAGATGGATCGTAGGCAGGCCAGCCTAAATGTTTCCAACCGGCGAAGATGCTCCATTAAGGGGGTCCACGTTTCGCAAGCGTAGAGAAGGGAGGGAATGACCGTGGCTGAGAAGACCTGAAGCTTAGTGCAGAGCGACAGACCAGGTAGCTTCCACATAGCGTTACACAACCGATGAAAAGATATTGCCGCTCGACTGATTCGGAGTGAGACCTCTGCTGTTAAACTGGAGACGGTCATAAGCACACTGCCCAGGTATGGGAAACTCTCCTCTCTCTCCACAACTACCCCATCACCGATTGGGAGTTGTGGGGGTGGAGTGTCCGATGGTACAAAATACCCAGGCAGGAGTTTAGTTTTAGTGGGGCTGATGGCAAGGCCCCATCTCTTAGTGGCACGCTCCAGTCTCAGCAGCAGCGTCTCCAACTCCTCCTCTGAATGAGCAGCTATTACCAAATCATCGGCATACTTAACATGGTTGAGCAACAGGGAGCCATCCCTTGACCGCACCCGGGCATCAATCAGCCTCCCATTATATCTGTACCAAATGGCGATTCCCCCGGTACAGCTATTGAAGGCTTCACGAACTACGTGGTCAAAATAGATGTTAAATGATGTGGGAGCCAGAGGACATCCCTGTCGCACCCCAAGGTGTACAGGGAATGGCTCTGACTCCCGGCCACGTAGTTTTACCCGGGCCCGCTCACCATCATGAAGGTCCTTAATGATCGTGAGCAGAGGGTCAGGGACTCCAAAAGCACGAAGAACAACCCAGAGCCCAGGCCTACTGATGGTATCATATAGGCCTTGACCAGGTCAATAAAGCAGAGATGTACAGCGAGGGAAAAAGTATTTGATCCCCTGCTGATTTTTTACGTTTGCCACAATTAAAATTACAGACTGATCATTTTTTTGTCAGTGGGCAAACGTACAAAATCAGCAGGGGATCAAATACTTTTTTCCCTCACTGTAGGTCTTGTTGGAATTCCCTACACCTCTGCTGTAGCAGACGGACAGAAAATATGGCATCTGTGCAGGACCGCCCTTTCCTGAAACCGCATTGGGACTCCGCAAACCTCTCCTCAGCGTGCCTGGCGATGTTGAATAATCCTTGCCAGGACCTTTCCCGGCACACTGAGGAGTGAGATGACCCTGTAGTTGTTACAGTCTGTGCGGTCCCTTTTCTTAAAGAGGGGGGCCATCAGGGCATCCTTCCAATCCTGCGGGACCCGTCCAGTGGTCCAGACTGTTGTTATGATGTCATATAGGGCAGTCTGTGCACAAACGCCACCCTCCCTCAGCATTTCGCTTGGGAGATCATCTCTGCCCGCTGCCTTTCCTGGTCTCAGACTCCGGATCGCCTTCAGTACTTCCTCAACAAATGGTACTTCAGCCAGCCACTCACAGGGGTTGACTTCTCCAAATATTTGAGGCACCGCAGCCTCAGCAGGGTCATCCTCACTTTGTGCCACGATGTTTTCCTGGCTGAGTGATTTTCCCTCCCCCAGGACCTCACAGAAATGCTCAGCAAATCTGCAAACCTGTTCCTGGGGTCGGAGATTGGATCACCGTTTTTTCCTCTAATGATGGTAAAAGGTGTGGCCTGCAGGTTACTTTTTGATGGAGTTAAATAGAGATTTGTGATCGCAGGCAACTGAGGCAGACTCCATCTCCTCAGCAACCCGCGACCACCCTCCATCCTTGCAGCGCCTCACGGCTCTCCGAACATCCGAGCGAAGGCTGCGGTAAGCCTCCTCATTCTCTGACGTGGGATTCTGTAGCCAATGGCAGTGGGCCTGTCGCTTTTTCTCAACCATCCTGAACACCTCCTCTGTCAGCCAGGGTCTCTGGGGAGGTCTGGACCACGTACCCAAAGCAGCCATTGCAGCTGCATGAGTCACAGTCCTAAACCTCGCCCATTTACCCCCGACATCAGGAGGAGTGGGGGACGATGCCAATCCCAGCCGCAAGCGATGATGAAATTCTCGCTTGCAACTTTCATCAGATAACTGAGACCAGGTCAATTTAGGTTGGAATGGGGTCCTGGGTGTACACCCACCACCGAAGTGGAAGAATGGCAGGCGCATATTACAGATGACAAGTCGATGGTCAGAGGGCAGATCAGCTCCATGGTAGGTCCTGGTGTCAAGGACATGGGCTTGCATCCGCTGGTCCGTCACTATGTAGTCCAGCAGATGTTCTTGCTTAGACCCGGCATGCATCCATGATGTTGTGTGGATGCGCCGATGCCGGAACAGCGTGTTGGTAATTACAAGCCCATGGGCTGCACACAAATCTAGCAGCCTCCTACCGTTGTTATTGAGCTGATCTGGCCCATGCCACCCAATCACTCCAGACCAGGTGCCAGCATCATGAACAACTCTGTTATTGAAGTCACCCAACATGATGACTCTATCCCGAGGTGCCACTTTAGCCAGCACCTGTGACAGGTCACAGAAGGCATCTGACTCATCGGCTTTGCCTGCATCCCTCCACGGATGTTTGTCTTCGGTGGGGGCATAAGTAACCACGACCACCACTCCTCGCCTCCGGTTGATGGGAAGGCGAGCCCAAAGTAGCCTGGGGCTTACAGCTTCCCACACCTCACCGCCACGCTCCCACACCCCCTTCATTCTTTTGTTCAAAAGAAGAGCCACACCCTGTTGTTTGGCAGTCTGCTGCCCCGAGTAGAGGACTGTCCACCCCTCATGGTGGCAGGAGCCAGAACCGGTCCACCGGACCTCCTGAATTCCACAGAGATCCAGGCGGTACCGGTCCAGCTCCCAACAGAGGAGTGGCAGCCTCTCCTCCGCAGTGAGTGTTCGAACATTCCACGTGGCCATCCGTAGTGGCTTTTCGTTGTTTCTGGAGGAGTGATAAAGGCACCCATTGGCACATGCGAACAGCACGGTGGCCTAAGTCACCACGTGGTGGTATCGTGCACTCGTTGCTCACTCACGCCGCTGCTAGCTGGGCCTCCACGAGAGAAGACTTGGAAGAGGTGGGCGTACCTACACTTTACCCCACCACAAACCAGAGCTTCCACTCAATTAACAGTATAAATGGCTGGACAGGTTAAAGTGGATAAGAGAA